ACAATTTTAAGGAAATTCGTCGTTGAAAATTCAGAATTTCGTGGAAAAATCAAAGAGAACCGTAAATTTCAGTTCCATTTTTCCCTGATAATAATTAGAAAACTAAAAAATTTCGGTAAATATATTTCTAAATTTTCAGGACAGTGACTCTGAATGCGATTTAGGGGGAAAAATCATGAGATTCGTGAAATCATGAATATTTCACTGGATATCCATATTAAATTGAAAATTCAAATAAATTAGGGAATTCTCGTCTTTATGAGGCTTAAAATTCTGGCATTTTATTAAATTTGCAGTGAAACCTGAAATTTCATTATTTTTTCCCCTAAATTGCATTCAGTGTCACTGTCCTGAGAAATAGTAGTGTACTGTCCACGAAATTTCTTTTCTTTTCTAACAGTGCACGCCATAACTCCCGTTGTGAGACATTTGACACCCCCCACGGGAAGGAGTAAGAGAGACTCTGTTGTAATGAATATTTGTAATGAGAGAATTTTGAGGGGAAATGGGGGACGAGATAAGGAAAGTCACCATCGCATCATGGTTTTGATGGTTACCTTGGTATCTGGGAAAATGAAAGAAAATATTTTCATAGAAGTAGAGCTGCAGAAAAATGTGCACTGTCATTCCTTTTTCAAAGGTTCTTTTTTCACTTCGGCACTCGCGTTCCAGAAAGTATTTTTTAACATGAGTTGAAATTTGATGGGGACAGGGGGGGGGGCAGGGGGGTTAATTAATGTTTTCAGGGGAGAGGGAAGATGTTGAAGTTGGTGACTGGATGTATTTTTTTTCTCCTGATTTTTATAATTAGCTTGAAGGATTCGGAAGAGAATGTGAAGGATGGTATAGAATCTCTATAACTCATGGGGCGATGAGCTGGGGTGAGCGACTGATGCTGACGTATAGGTTTTCTCCTGTTGTGGGGGAATTGACACCCCCGTCGAGAGGAGTAAGAGAGACTCTGTTGTAATGAACGTTTGTAATGAGGAAATTCTGAGGGGAAATGTGGGACGTTATAAGTGAAGTCAACTTCACATTGAGATTTTGATGGATATCTTAGTATTCGGGGGATGAGAGTATTTTCGTAGGGCCAACGCTGCAGACAAAGATAGTATGATCTTCATAACTCATGTCAGGGTGGGTTATGGTGAGCGCTTGATGCTAATGTTTATGTTTTAATGTGTTTTGAAGACGTGTGAAGAGAGTATCGAGTGTTGCATAACCTCTGTTGTCTACAAATTGACAGCCCCGACATGACGGAATTAGAGAGACTCGTGCGTTCTTGATTATGGAATTTTGGGGCTGAAGGATGGAACTCAATTTCATTTTGAGATTTATTATAGATGAACATTTTAGAAATTTCTTTCGACCCCACGAAATCCCCCCCCCCCATTTCAAATCTAAAAAATTATCAGAATGGCGGACTCCTCTAACACAATATCCTCACAACTGAATTAATTCCTCATTAGCCTGAGGCCTGCGCACGCCGTCCACCACAGCGCGTGGCCGGCATTACTGTTGCATATCGTAGAAAAAAAATACCCGGCGTTTTACGGGGCGACTAGACGGCGCCGAACTACCGGCGAGTTTCAATATTTATCATTTCCTGAGCGGAAAATTTTCGGTGGAGGGGAGGAGTTTCTCTCTCACCCACAAAACTAGGGGGGCAAATCGTGCCAGAGGGGGAATGCCATCGAAATAGTCGGGAATAGACGCGTCTTTGTTGCAATCCCAGTGAGTGAACGTGACCGATCGCGTTATTAATGCCAGCTCTCTCGCCCCTTCGTAACCGGCGTCTCGGTCAACGGCCATATTGCGCAAGCATCGCGATGCCTAACAAACACACGAATTTCCGAGGAGCGAGCGAATTCACTCCCTCTGGCGCACGTGCCTCATGCACTTGACGATCTTGCCTGCATCTGTGCGATTTTTGGTTTCAAAATTAGGTTTTTTTTGACAATTCGGAATTTTAGGAAGAGACTTTTGAGGCTGAAACGTCAATATGATGACCGTTCAGCCCTATTAGTTTTTGCAAGAATTCAAAAATTTTTTCAAGATTCAACAAGATTTATTAACATGGATAGATATTTACAAACATGACAAGACAACAATATGGTACAAGTTTATACATAGAAGATTGAATGGTATAGTATCAGCCCCGAGGCTCTAACATATATATAATATGAGGGGTGAGAAATGGGTTAACAATATGAGGGATGGGGATAGGGAGGAGATGCTGGATAGGGAAAATTTTTTATATTGAAAAACCCTATTACGAATTAAAAAATTTATTTTAATATGAAATTTTGTTTTTATTAATTCCGAGGGAAGTAGCTGGGAGTAGGGAGGTCGTCATATTGTGTTTTCAATCTCAAATTTCCCTGGCTATCGAATGGGGTAATTTCGAACTCCAAATCTGAATTCCTCTTTGTTAATGGGTGATGAGTTTTAAAAGTCGCGGGCAATTGGAGTGAGATTTCTTATGCATTGAAGATCGATTACATATATCTAAAAACGTATAATTAGTGCAAAAAAATTAATTGTTTATTGGTCGTTTACCCGGCGTACGCTTAAAATGTTAAAAACAGTCTAGGGTCTCCAATTTTTGAGCTACACATTTTTTCAAAAATTTTAAGAAAAAAATGTGTAGCTCAAAAATAATTCTAAGAGAATTAGAATTTTAGAGAGAAAAAATTTCCGCTTCACCCAGCCGGGAATCGAACCCGGGTCTCCCAGATACGCGCCGGGCACTCTTACCGACTAAGCTACCGGGAACCACAGAAATTCACTCTCAAATTCACCTCAAACACCGCCTAACCTCCTTTAGGCATTTCAAAAGAATGCCTAAAATAGAATAGAGAATTTCAAAAATTTTAAGAAAAAAATGTGTACAATAACAATTACGAATTAGTTTTTCTTACAATATTTAGGATATATATTCGATTCTTTCCGAAATATGTTTTGGGCTATTTTACATGAATGTTGCAATTTTTTATTAAAAAAAAATAAATTAGCTATGAAGGAGCCGAATTTCAAAATCTAATTTGTAATTATTATTGTACACTTTTTTTCAAAAATTTTGAGAAAAACTTTTGTAGCTGAAAAATTGCAAGCCCTAGACTATTTTCAACATTTTAAGCGTCTGCGGGGCAAACGAACAATAAACAATTTTTTGCGCCAATTATTCATTCTTAAACATGTATAATCGACCTTTAATGTGTGAGGAATCTCATTCTGATGGCCCGCGACTTTTAGTACTCTTATTAAATTTGTTCATTTCTGAAGAAAGTGATGAATATAAGAATGAAATTATTTTTAACACTTAATTGAACTGCCTTGGTTGAATGCGTTTTTAAATTGAAATTTTTTTGTTGACTGAATCTTTGCGATTGTTGTTGCAATTTTTTCAGAAATTAATGCGTGATGAAAATAATGAATGATGAATATAGGGATCAAATCGGTTTTAACCCTAAATTTTCCAAAAAATTGCGAAGCCCATCCATCCGCGTGCAGCACGTGCTGAGTGCACAGGCACTCTTTTCGCTCATATCCTCCCATCCAACATTTTTTCACTCCCAGCTCCAATTACAGATGTCGTAATGGAGCACCTGTCTGATTGGTTTCTCCCCTTAATGAAGGAAAAAACCAGCATAAAATATCTCTAAATTAATTAGAAAATAGCAGAGAAAATGTGGATAGCGGAAATCACCGAGTGAGGGCAGCGGAGCGTAAGTGCTCTGTGTTTTTTTTAGCCGCATGTTATTAGCTCCCTTATCTCTTCACTAACAAAAAGGTATAACATTTGTATCGGCGCCGGCGCGAAACACGGTTTATCGCTTTAACTTGACCCCTCCAATGGCCTCAATGCAGGGATTTATTATGAAAACCGAGTGAACACAAATTGACGAGTGGAAAAATGCCCGTTATAAATCGTGTGCGTTGCTATCGAGATCTTGAAGGACCATAAAAATGCGAATTAACCAATTTCTAATTATTCTCATTAAATTGACTAATTCAATTGCGCAATCATAGGCTTTTATAAAACTAGATAAATCCACTTCTTTCAACTATTCACGAGTTTTTGCCGATATTATTATGAAAATCTGTGACGTAGGGAATTTCAAAAAGGTTCTTATGAAAATTTTCTTATTCCCCGAAGATATTTTGAAAATACTTGCTCCATTTTTCCACAAAAGAGTTCTCGATAATGAAGATAAAAATGAACCTTGAGTTTTTGGTAAATATCTCTGAATTCATAGGAGATAGGGAAATTTTTTGGATAACCTTTTTTGTAGAGAATTTCAAAATCTGCGAAAAAGATTTTAACGAAATTTTCGCTATCCCCCTTAGTTTATGAAATATTCTAGAAAAACTCGTTTGATTCCTTTATGAATGAATTCGCGATGATGAAAACAATAAGACAGTTTTTGCTAAATACCTCCGAATCTACGACAGATGGGAAAAATATGATGACAACAATTTTTCCGGGAAATTTCAAGAGTTACTAAAAGGATCTAAACGAAAATTTCTCTATCTCCTTTAGTTTATAAGATGTTCTTTGACTTTTTCATGAATTAATTCTCGATGATGACAACAACAAGACAGTTTTTGCTAAATATCTCCGAATCTATGAGGGATAAAAAGAATGCAACAATAACATTTTCCACAGAAAATTTCCAGAGCAATAAAAAATGTTCTCACAAAAATTTCGCTATCTTTTCTAGTTTAGCGGAAATTCCCAGTTTTCGAATTGCGCTCATTAATAAAAGAATTAATTTCCAACAACGAGAAAAACAAAAAGACACTTCTAGCTTAATATCTCCGAATTCCTGACAAATATCACAAATTCCATAAAAACCTTTTCCACACTAACCTTCAACACCTACACAAAAGCTTCCCACATTTAGCCACCCCCAGTAGTTCAGGAAATGCCCTAAAAAATCCCACTTCCCTCCAAAACCCCAACAATAACAATAAATAACCCCAAATCATAAACTCACCATAATCCCCATCACTCTTCTCCTCAGTATCCCCAAGAACCTCATAGTCACCAAGCTCGAGGCCCACGGATGCAGCCCTCGTGATAGTCGTTAGGGTGGCGAAGACGAGGAAATCCTGTGGCCACATGTTACTCACTTATTACAGAAACAGCCAGTACCCAACTGAGCCCCAAAACTCGTTCATGAAAGATTATTTAGGATATAAGTGGATGCACTCTCGATAGTCCTGACGAGCATCCCCCCGAATCCCTGAGACCCCAAATAAATATTTAATAACTGATCAATTGATGAAATAAATTGTCAATCACATCTGCCTGCCGGACGATAAATCGTCTCAACCACTTGTCGTCTGAGGCCGCAATCTCAGCACTTCCCCGTAAAATACAAAAATCCTCGATGCAGCGAGTTATTTCTCCGTCCAGAGAGGCCCGGCACACATCACCGGTCAACGGAAGAACGCTCACTGATACTTTTTAAAAGTTACGAACCGAGTGGCGCGGCGCTGAGTCGTCCCCCACTCCGCGACCTCAGCTTTTGTCTCTCCCTGTATTGGTAAAAGCCTCATCGGCTCTGCATGCAGCTCTCCCTTGTCTCTGTATGCTTGACTGTGTACACAGGGAGAGTGAGACCACATGATTGGAGTGCGTCGGAGAGAGAGGGGGGAAAACGCCAGTGGCGCCTGGGGCACAGACGCCAGGGCTGTCGATGTGTGTGAGCGCACATGCATCTGGCGACTTGACTCAGGGCTCTTCCCCGCGCCCCTTGTCGCAACCGCCGTTTGTATATGTTAGCGAACCCGCCGCCGACCGTCAGCCTCTTATCCAGACTGTCGGATTGCTCATTTAGAAATGTGTACTGTCGTCCCTTTTTCAAAGGTTCTTTCTTTTTCACTTCGGCACTCGCGTTCCGGAAAGTTTTTTTTTATCGTGAGTTGATATTTCGAGGGGGGGGGGGGTTGATTACGATTCCTTTGGCGCCACTCCAATCCTATTTACTGAAAAAATTAGATAGTTCAGACTGGGATTTGAACCCGGGACCTTCCGATTATGCATCGGGTGCACTCCCAAATTAAGGTCACAAAGGTCACAAAAAAGGAGTCGCTAGGGTTACGGAAGTTACAAGGGTCACACAAAATCCGTCAGTCTCTTATACTGTCGTCCCTTTTTCAAAGGTTCTCTCTTTTTCACTTCGGTACTCGCGTTCCGGAGTTTTTTATATCGTGAGTTGATATTTCGAGGGGGGATGATGATGATTCCTTTGGGGCCATTGCAATCCAATTTACTGAAAAAATTAGATAATTCAAATCGGAATTTGAACCCGGAACCTTCCGATTATGCATCGGATGCTCTCCTAACTTAACGCAAGTTCCCAAGGTCACAAAAAAGGAGTCTCTAGTGTCGCGAGGGTCACACAAAAGAAAGAACTCACTAGGGTCACAAGGCCTTGGTTGAATGCGTTTTTGACTAAATTTTTTTTTGTGAAGATTTGTTGATTTGTTGACAGAATCTTTGTGATTGTTTTGCATTTTTTTTTCAGAAAAAAAAATTCAGTCAAAAAAATCTCCAACAAAAAAATTTTCATTAAAATTGAGTTGTGTTGTTTTGGGGCTGTAAATATAATCATTAAATTCAAATATGAGAATGTGAATGCATGAATTGGTGTCTTAAGATAAAAAGCATCATAGAACTGTTCGTATCTTGGGGAAATAAGGATTGAAATGCCCATTTCCCAAAAACTAATTGAGAGGGGTTTTTTTCGTTATTTTTTCCGTATTCCTCAGGAAAAATGGTACGGGAAATATATGTCGTATAAACGAGCAGGGTTCTGAGCCTATTCGACGGAAGCAATATGACCGTTACACTGAGAAAAATTTCAATGGTAATTTTAATTACAAGGGAATTGACAAAGAAATTATATTTACAGTAACAATAAACTTTGTAGATTAAACTAGGATTCAACGTTCGATTTACTATGTCGAATAGTGTTATCAACATTATGATGTAATTTTCACTTTAATAGATGAATCTACACTGTTTATTGTTACCGTAACTATAGTTTTTTTGACAATTCCCTTGTAGTTGAAATTACCATTGAAATTTCTCTCAGTGTACTTTATGGGATAAAGTTTATGTGGTATTAGACTGTTTTCTTTCTCACTTTAACAATTCCATTGGTAATATGCTTCCGAATGGATCTGTAGCAGTAGTTCTAGGATGAATGTTCCCCTGAAATCGTTCTTGGAAAATTGTTCCTCGGAAAAATGATTCCCATATTTTCTTTTTCCACGGCGATTACAGTTTGTCTCGTTATTTCATCAAATATCGACATGTCCTAATAAAACAAGGGTATTTAAATTTTCTTTTCAAAACAAGGGTATCTCAAAATTAATGTGAAAATTCCTCTGAAATCTCACGTTTTCCTTCTCTTGACAGATGTATAAATTGTATGAATGCATTAAAAAGTACAAATAACATGAAGTAGTTCACATTGGAAGACAAATAAAAGGATTTGCGAGTTCCGTGAGAATTAGAAATGGATGTGAACAACAAATTTTCACATGAATTTTGAAATACCCTTGTTTCATTAGGAGATGTCGATATTACATAATATAAAATAGAAAAGAACATAAATATTTATCATATGACTACGTAATTCTGGGGGCTTATTCTCGCCTGTAAAATTACGATGTGCAATCCGTAAACGAAGCTTCATTCGCATCCAAATCTGTCCTTACACTGATAGAAAAGGTGAAGCGATTCAGTTGCACCAAACGAGGCTTCTTAACTGTTACCGTGATTCGTTAATAGTTAACGAATCGTGATAATAGTTAAAAAGTCTCACTTGGTTCGACTAAACCGTTCTATCAGTGTACAGAAGTCGAGAACAAGCCCTCAGAGGCGAAAATAATTAATAAAATCACGAAGTGTAACTTTTTAGAAAAAAAGATTTTTGGATGAATTGCTCTATATCACGATGTATTGAATCGATTGACACAAAACTTTATACACAAGTGTGACTCAATAATACTCATTAGTAGTCAGAATCTCAGATGCTCATTCCGAGTTTTATTCCAAATTCTGGAAATTTTTATTGTGTTTAATATCCATAAGTAATACCACAAGAGCTTCAAAATTATCAGGTATTTCCCGATAGGTTCGTGTGTATGCAGGGAACCTTGAGGGAAATACCTGATTAATTTTGAAGCTCGAGTGGTATTCGAAGGGGAATTTTTCCATCCAAATTTCGGCCAAGAGGATTGCACTATGAGACAAATTCCATCTGTCAGTTCGAAAAGGGTTCAATCGACCGGTAAATCTTTTGTTTTTCATAAGCATGAAGGCAACGTGAAAAATTACCAGTTGAATTATCAATATTTTCATAGGTGTGAAGTCAACGTGAAAAATTACCAGTTGAATTATCAAAATTATCAGTTGAATACCGTGTTGACTATATAAAATAACAGTCGATAGTACAATCCTATCGGCTGAAATTTGGATGGAAAAAATTCCCACTGAAATTTCAGGAAATGTTAACATTGAAAATCGAAATATTTCATTAATTTTCGGTTCAAATGGTCTGAAAATCAATAAAATACTTGATTTGTCAGTTAAATTATTCGGTGAAAATTCAGAAAATTTTTGGAAAATTCAGAGAAAAATAGAAAGTTCATTTCGTTTTGTCCCTGAATATTCACGTTCCATTGAAAATTCAATCAAGTTATAACATTTCCATCTCACTCCCACGGAAAGCGCATGAATTTCCTTGAATTCTACGTAAAACTTGAAATTTCATAACCATTTTTCCCCTGAATCCGATTCAATGTCACGAGAATTATTGTGTTATAAAAATCCAAATCGACTTCTGGTGATGAAAATTTGGTACTCGAAATTAAGGGTCAGAAACAAAAGGTTACAAGAGTTAGATTAAGAGTTATAAGGTTCAAAATAAGGGTCATGAGGGTCACAAGGGTCAGTTAAAGAGTTACAAGGGTCTGAATGAGGGCCATGGGGGTCATTTGGTGCTCTTTCTATAATATCAAAATCCAAATTGACTTCTGGTGATGAAAATTTGGTACTCGAAATTAAGATTCCAAAATGAAGTGTCAGAATAAGGGTCATGGGGGTCGAAATAAGGGTTAGAATTAGGGTTGTAGGCTTATATGGGGGTTGGCCAGAGGAGCGAGCAGGGGGCGAAGTCCCCTAGTTTTCCATGAAATTAAAAAAAAATTCCAACAGTGTGTTTTGATATCCTCTCCAATAGGTAAACGATCTCCCGAAAAAATTTAGTCACATTGTCTGTCTTGAGAAGTCATCAACCCTCAAAAACATCATCAAACATGACTTAAAGAGTCCACCCCCCCCCCCACCCCGTCTTGACTCCCAAGTCCTCGCAAAATCTTCATCTCCAAAATAATTCCAAAAATCCCCAAAAAATTACTTCTTCATTCGATTCTCCTCATTCCTCTCCATTCACCATCGGATAAAAATCACAACCGATCGTTATCCATTATGTACGAACTCGTTCAGATGACACGTTTCGAGAATGAGAGAATGAGCCTGAGAAATGCGCCCCCGTGGGTCTTCTCCATCTTCTTCTTCATCTCGTTCTTCTCCCCCCCCCCCTCGCCGCGCAACCTTTCTACATAGGCCGATTGTCCGTTTAAGCCCGGTGATTGATTTCCCAGCGCCCGTATATAAACCCCAAAGTAAATGCCGGTGGACGGTTTGATCGAGGAGCCGAGCACCTGGCAGTCAACCAGACTCAAGGGGGAATTCAATTTATGACCTAAAACGTATTTTCTACTTTGCGAATTATTCCCTTCAATTGCATTCTTCAATTTTGGGTGGTGTTATAAGGGGTAATGTGAAGAAAATTAAATAATTAATTTCGATTTTTTGTTGTTCATATGAATTAAACTATCCTTTATTTTAAAAATTGGTGAAGGGTTTTTTTTGAGTAATCTATTTCGTCAAGGTATATCATATTCATATTTTAAAAAATATTATACTATACTATTTTATATAATTTTTTCAACAGTCTGCACTATTAGAAAAAATAAATAAAATTGCATGGACACTGCATCCGATTTAGGAGAAAAAAAATATTCAGTTATAATACCCCGAGACCTTCAAAATTATCGCATATATCACGGAGAAAATTATTTGGTGTAATTCAACAACTAATTAATTAAAATTCAGAAAAAGATTTTTCAGTTTCATTCGACAACCATTTGTTAAATTTTCAATAAACGTTCGTCGATTTATTTGAGGGATCAAATCTAACAAAAAATTGTAGATTGTTGCGAAAATATCTCGTAGAGAAGACATTGATCGACTGTCAAGATATAAATGATTACGGGATTGTTTCCAAATGTATATATGCCCTCACTATCTACCTTGTAGGAAAGATTGATTGAATTTATTGAAATAGAGGTTCAAGCTGGTTACTT